AATTTAAGTGTCTCGAGGTTATTTTCAAATATCTGAGTGTCCTGCTCAAGCAAATGATCATCCAGCAGTTTCTAAAAATGAGAGGGAGAGAATGTGAAGAGCAGTAATTTCTTAAACTGAAATCCAAGTTAGATTTTCCACAAATTATGTGTATCAGCTTGTATCAACAATGTGTATCAACAAGCAATCAAATCTCGAAGCAAACAGAGCCTCAGGTCTAGAAGAGTTCTTAGAAATATTTTAGTCCATTCTGAGAGTCCTTGAGAGTCTGATGAAAGTTAGGGACTTTTTCCTAGAAATGTACAAAATTTCACATACAATTTCAAGGGCTTCCTGGAACCACTCATGTGGACCTCAGATGTTTCCAGGTAAAGGCTAAGAAAAGTTAGGGACTCAAACCCCAGGATACAAGTCTTCAGACTCACAATTAAGTGCTGAATAAGTAAAAGCTTAAGAACCTATAAAAAGAGGACAAACACTGTTAAGTGGGAGGAAAAAAAAGATTGCTGAGAAGGTAGGCTTTTAGAGGGCCATATGTCTTACATAAGCTAGCTTTAAACTGCAGTCGCCTTTCCTCTCCCGGAAAGTCCATTTTCTCTTAACATTTATATTTATCCCAGACCAAGGAAACATCTTCTGCATCTGGTTGTCACAATGTCAGCTCAAAAACAGCCTATCCAAAATGGGCTATCTTCCCAAAAGCAACTTCCCTTTGAAATCTTGCTACTTGTCTCCAACACCACTATTATCCCAATCAACCAGACTCCAAATTTCTCATTTATCTTCAACTCTATTTTTCTTCTCCTTCAATTAGAAAACTAAGAATCAATAAGCAATCAAGTCCTGTCAATTCTTCAGTCCTGTGCGATACAGCTATTTATTGGGTACCATCTATGTGGCACCGGTGACACAAAGATAAATAAAATACACTCATGCCCCTAAGGAGCTCAGTCGGGTGTCCCTTCCTTGATATTTTTGTAGCTACCATTGATGTTTTAGATCTTCATCACTCTACAGTCACCTTCCTACAACCAGCCCCTAACTGCTCTGACTTCCTTCAGTCTATTCTCTCCCTCCTAAGACTCCAATTTGCATAATATTTTGCTGACCAAATACGTTCCCTCAAATAATAAATTGACCATGTAATTCCCTTCCTAGGAATATCTCTGTTGGGTTCCTGGTATCTACAGAAAGCCTGTGGACTTTACTCTGATAATCAGAGCCCTGTGCATCATCAGGCCCGCCGCTCTCTACCTACAAAAATCTCCTTTATCCCAAGCACCCTTTAGCACAAATTCATTGCTCCAATGAAGCTGGTCCTGAAACTTACTCATGTTTATTCCTGGTCCCATCACTCCCATATTGGGCTCTCCTTCCCTTTCTACTCATCCTCAGAGTTACAGCTTAAGTCCTGCCTCGTTCCACAAAACATTTCAAGAAAGTATATCCCACAAGGCTCACGCATTGATATATTACGGTATTTGTATGCATCATTCATTTTGACACTAAATCATAAATATTCATAGCCTTATTTTTTCTCTCTCCAAACTGACTACAATGTCTTTGAGGTCAGTAAGAAAACCTCACATTTTTCTTATTAACTTTCATACATCCATTCATTTAACATATATTTGTTGACATCTACTTTGTGCCCTGCACTGTACCAGGCTGAAGGAGTCCACTGTGCTTTGACATAGTGAATCCTAAACAAACACTTATTGATAAATAAAATTGATCCCCTCTGCTAGTAAGTGGCATATTTATTTAAGAAAAATAACTCTGAGAAGCTCTCTTCTTTTTAGATCATGTGACCACAGAAGTCCCATAATTTTCAAATAGCCCCAAAGTGTCAAAGGTTGGGAGTTTCAACAATCAGGTTGCAGCTGGATTTGGAACGTATTCTCTTGCTCATAGTCTTCAGAATTTACTGTAACTTTTGTAATTCCTGCTAAAAGAATATTACCACCTTTTTAAGGCTCATATTTCACTTCTCTTCAATTTGGTACAAAATGCTATAAATAAATAAAATGGAAAAATTCTTCAGCTACTTGACATCCATAATAATAGGAGACATTTTGAAACTATCAGCTTTATAAATAAGCCAGAAACTCCTCATATTTGGCCAGCTAAATTAGTAAAAATTTAGAAAAGTGGGCATTTATTATGGTTTAATTGCACAGACTTCTGTTGAGGGTTTATATATATAATTCAGTTTATAAATATGCCCATAAAAATAACATTACAATATAATACATATTCGAGTAAATAAATAAATGTCACTGTGACTGTTCTCTTGAATGACAACGAACAATAAGTGTTATAGTCCCAGTTGTTTACTTAAATTGGCCCTGTAGGGACAGAAGGCCATTGGGTCATCAACGTGGTTACTGACGCTCTTTTTATACCAAGATGGTACCAAAGTGAAAATGGCCATTCTATCTGCACATCGCCCATCTATACAGCTTCTATCCATCAAAATTTATAGCTGTGACTCTCATGCAGCTTTGGATTTCAAGAGACCCCTGATTTTGATCACCAAGAAGGGAAGAAAGAAAAAACCTTTAAAGAGAATTGCTTTTTTTAATTGAGCCAGACACTGTGTGTGAAAACTTGCAGGGATAATTTAAGGCTCAGAATGAGGTTACCTTCTTTGAGAGAGGATTTACTTTTGTTTCTAGCAGACATCTAGGCTAAGGGCAGATCGAAATCCAATTGAGGATGGAGATGATTCAAATCTGGGCTTCAGTGGTTTGCTTAGAGAACCGGTCTTTTCTAGGGTTTGCTGGAAGCTCTACTCAGCTTCTCTGCCTCTTAGTCAGGCTTTTACTTCTGCATTCTGCAAGTTCCTTGCGAGAAAAAGCACCTCCAAATGCAGGGCTCACCTCCCTCGGCTTCCCTCTTCTTCTGCATCTTAGTCCTGTAAATTTTCTCCACCTTGGTAGCTTGCCAATGCCCTCAAACAGGTGTTTAATATACTCTGTCTTGTATTATTCTCAGAAGGCTTGGTCTAAGTCAACTTCACAGCCAGAAGTAGAAGCTCCTTCATCCCTACTTTGATTATTGGTGTCACTATTCATCTGGTCTTTCTCGCTAATTATCTTGCATTGATCCTCCATAGCTCAATATCACCCTCTTCCTTTTTTGCCTATTCTGCACATGTAGAAAGGTCTCTCGAGATCAGACTCCTCTGTCACTCACTGACCCTGTGATCATTTAGATTACAATTGCCCATGCAACTTTCTATCTGGTCTCCCTGTCACTAAGATCTCTCAAATCTAGTCTTGAGGAAGACTGTGTCTTAGCCCATTTGAGCTGCTATAACAGAACACTATAAACTGGGTAGCTTATAAACAACAGAAATTTATTTTCACAGGTCTGCAGGCTGGGAAATCCAAGATCAAGGTGCTGGCAGATTTGGTGTCTGATGAGAACCCACTTCCTGGTTCTTTGACAGCTGTCTTCTTGCTGTGTCCTCACATGGTGGAAGAGGGAGAGAGCAATCTGGAGTCTCTTTTCTAAGGTCATTAATTCCATTCATGAGGGCTCACATAACCTCATCACCTCCCAAAGGCCCCACCTCAAAATACCATCACATTGGGTTAGTTTTCCAACTCATGACTTTTGAGGATACACATTAGTCTATAGCAGACTGTGTAGCATAAAATACTCCGGAAACAAAACAGTTATACAGAAATCCCTTTTCCCAACCCTCACCCTGAAATGCCAGTTAGGAAAGATGCTTAATGGTATCCTACAGGAAGTCACAACATCTATGTGTCTACCCAATGGAGAGAAGATATTCACTTTTAGCTTTGACCCAATCAGGAAGTAACTCTTTCACCCAATGGGAGCTGACCAGAAGAATTCTGTATTGGCAGCAGAATCAAAACCAGTTGGTCCAACAACTCCAGTGTACACTGACTGAGGGGGGGGGCAGGCAGAGCCACAGCCCCACATAAACAAGAAGAGCTGCCTTCCCACGGGAAAGAGATCCAAGCAGCAGGTACATCTTAAAGAATCTTAGGGGAAAGCAAAGTCTCCTTAAGAAGATTTTTAAAACGCTTGATGCTTAAAGTAAACTTTGAAAATATGAACCAGTAAAGATAAAAACATATTTCTGGATGGTAATATAATAAAATAACTTGGCACAGGACAAAACTTGTGTTGGATGCCCAGCAAAGAATCATAATGTGAGTAAAGAAAAGCCGAGCTATGTAGAACAGCAAGCACAGAGACCACCGGCCTAGCTGCCCCATATGAGCAGGTATTGGAAGGAAGGGGTGTCAGATAAATATCCATGCTCCCCCCACAGCATACCGTCTTAACATAGCTTATTTCCATCTGGGTGGGCTCCCAATTACCCAAGCACAGGAGAGAGCTCTAAAACCGTCAACTGATAACCTACTCTTGTCAGGTTGACGGTTACTTTCTAGCTTATTACCTGGAGCAATTGATGCTCCTGGACGTTGCTGGTGTTAAAAAGCTAATGATAAAAACTGTAAAAGAGTATGCAGAAAGGAACAGCTTTTATCCTAAAGTGATAGGATTGTGGATGACTTTTTCCTTCTATGTTATCCAAACATTCCTTAATGCATTTTATTTACAAAATAAATAAATATATGTCAAATACAAATGGTACCAAGAAGAAGCAACAGCCTCTAAAATATGATTAAAAAAATATAACAAAAATATATAAAAAAACATATATAAAAAAATATATAAAAATATATAAAAAAATATAAAAAAATATAACCTTTCTTTTTGAACTCAGGGTGTTTGTAATTAATTACTGTAACATAATTATAAATTTCTAGAAAAGAGACGGGGCTGGAGTGCCGTGTGCTTCATGAGAGGGTCTTAGAAGGAAATCACCCTGATTGTCACTTGGCCCCTTCTATTTTTTTTTTTTTTTTTTTTTTACAATATGTTGCTTATTTTCCCTACAAGGCAAATGTACAAGACATGTTTTATCTCATATTATTTATGAAGAACTTTTTTACCTAAAATTCTCATATGCTTCCACTTGTCGTTTCCAAGGACAGCTCTGTATATTTGTGATAATCTGAAGATAGTCATCCTCCGAGTACCTAAAAGTCAAATGACAATGAAATTAGAAAATAAAGATCTCAAATATTGCTAAACAAATATATGTCTTCTAAAGGACACTTTTATAACCTACTCATTTTAGCCTTCTTGAATCTTTTCTGAAATAAGATGATGTAGAAATAAGTAAATATCATACCAATTTCAAAACTTCTAGGAATACATAACTTACAAAGAATTATTATGCTGGTTTAGGAATATGTAATTTGCACATATCATAAGTCAAGTCTAGTATTACAAACAAACCATTACAGGGCACCAACTCACATTCATATTTTATGGCCATTTCACCTTAGCTTTAACTCAATGACAAATAAATATATATTTCATAGATGTTTACCATAAATACATAGTTTATCATTTTTTTCAGACTCTAAGTTGATAGATTTACCTTGAGATATATAGATAAAACTTCTCCAAAATAATCATCCTAAATTTTAATTCTGAACAGTACATAAAAAACCAGATTAGGTTAAGAGAGACATATATGGCATAAAAAATTATAGGCACAGTGGTACAGTTTGGTTGGATCCCAGCCTCCATTAGATGCCCCTCTATCTGAAATTCCATCAAGTATTAATTCCTTTCATCACAGAACAGGTTTTAGGTTTTAAGGGTTATAATTTCACATGCAAATATCCTTTGAGTGAAAAAACCCTTAAATTTTCTTTCAAGTAATATCTTAGTCATTAGTTACCAGCTATTCGAGATCAAGGCTCTTCAGTAAGGAGATAGACTATAGGTTGGTGGGGTGGGGAAGGGAGAGGACAGTAAAGAACCTTGTCAGGAGAATCACTTCCCCACCCCGATACAGCAAAATGCAGATCTTCCGAAGTTTATGTCTGAAAGGAGGTATGTATTACAGGTGGGGAAGGCAGTCGACCAAGCAACTCCCTTCCCCCTGAAATTTACTTACCTTTTGGGTATCTCTTTCTGCAATGTTGCCACCAAGATTAATCAAAAATATTTCCCCTTGGTTCCTATTGGCCCATCTAAGAAAAGCTGAAAATCTTGAAAGACTTTGCTAAATAACTAAAGGAGAAGCCAAGCAAAGAGCTACCCCAGGAGAGATTAAAAATAGTTTTGCTTGCATACAGGCTTCCAACTTTAACAGATTTACTTCCCTCCCACGGGCCCTAAGACTTGTCCTAGTACACCAAGTGGCTTGAGAGATCTATACTCTGGCCCCAAAGCTTTGTCTAGATGTGACATTTCCTAGCTGGAGTGAAGATTGCCTGTCTCCACCGGGTAGGAGACACCCAGAGACTCTCTGCAAGACAATGTTAAGCTCATAAAAGAAGAAATACACATTCAGCAGCCTACTCAAGGCTCTTCCAACTTCTGGCTCTTCAAGAGAGACATGACACTGTGACTATTCTCTCCTGTCTCCTGACTTCTCCTGGGAAAGTCTTGTCAACCACCAAGGCATGGCTTTTAGTCATTTGATCATACTGAATACAGGACAACAATCAGAGCACTATGTGTACCAGGGTCCATCAGGCAAAGTAACAAAAGAATTGTTGTCTCACAAAGCTCAACTAAAGAGAAAATGGAAAGAGAAATACAAATATCTTAACAAATTAAATCAATGAGAACTGCAAATGTATTTTAAGGCATCGAGATAAAACATATCATGAAAAGTACGGTAAACGGGAAATTACTACCCCGTCATAAAAACTAAATGTGTCAGAGTTTAAAGTTTTATTTAAGTGTTATTTAAGTGTCATTTATTAGATGAAAAATACATTAAATTTCTCATGATGTAGAGCTAAGATAATAAGATTAGGGAACTTGAAGATATAGCAATAGAAACTATTGAAAATGAAACATAAAGGGAAAAAAAGGATAGAATGCAGAAGTTACAGAGAATCTTTCAAATGTGAGACAACCTCAAGTGGCCTAATATATGAGAAATTATGGTCTTAGCAAGAAAGAAGAGACAAAAATATTTTTGAAAAAATTATGGTGGCAAATTTTCCAAATTTAATGAAATGTATAAACCCACAGACCCAAGAAGCTCAACAAAGCCAAAGCACAAGAATCATAAAGAAAATTACAACAAGGCACCTAATAATAAAATTTCTTTAAACCAGTGATAAAGAGAAAATCTTAAGTGTAGTTAGAGAAAAAAGACACATTCTGTACATAGAAACAAAGATAAGAATTACAGCAGACTTGTAAGAAACAATGCAAGGCAGAAGGCAGTGGAACAATGTCATTAAAATATAGGACAGGATTTGGGAGGACTGTCAACCTAGAATTCTATAGTCAGCAAACCCTTCAAAAAATGAAGGTAAAATAAGGACTTTTTTAGACATACAAAGGCTAAAAGAATTCATACCAGCAAACCTGCAGTACAAAAAAAGAATACACAGTGCAGATTCCATTCCAGAAAATGAAAACTAGTCTATAGTGACAATAAGCATATCAGGAGTTTCCTGGAAATGAACACTGGCATGTGGGGGTGTGCACAGGCAGGGAGGAATGGAGACAAAAAAGCATGAGAAACCTTTGGTGGGTGGTGGATATGTTCATAATCTTGATTGTAGTGATGGTGTATACATATGCCAATACCCTTCACCTTGTACACTTAAGTCGCAATTTATTGTCAATCACTTACACCTCAAAAAACTTTCAAAATGTTCATTATTGGGCTAAAAAATTGTATGCTCCATGGTTACATAACTAAGATAATAGTAATATACATCAGCCATTGTTAGCGATCAAATATCAAAAATTCAAATCTCTAAGGGTCGGCCGCATGGCCTAGTGGTTTAGTTTGGCACACTCCACTCCGACGGCCCGGGTTCAGTTCCCAGGCGTGGACCTACACCACTTGTCGGTGCCCATGTTGTAGCTGTGACTCACATACAAAATAGAGGAAGACTGGCACAGATGTTATCTCAGGGCAAATCTTCCTCAAGCAAAAAGAGGAAGATTGGCAACAGATGTTAGCTTAAGGCAAATCTTCCTCAGCAAAAACAACAACAACAAAAATCCAAAACTTTAGTTACTATGAACCTACAGTTATTTAAATGGATATGCTTTTTAAAGACTTTCCTGGACAGCTAATAAGTTGCTACTTCCAATGCGCTCTCAGAGTGTCTTGATCAATACTCCTATACTAGTCCTTCTCACATTGAACTTCATTCCATGTCTACATATTGGCTTCCCCTTCCAGACTCTCCCCCCAGGACCTCAAGGGCTGAGCATTTCTAGCCTAACACAATCCCCAGGACATGCTGATTGCTCTTGTTAACCCAGGAAATGCATGTTTCAATATAAATATGAAATGTAATGAGGTCATGAACTACTCTGAGTAAGTTCAAAGCAACATTTCCTTATTCCATGGATTATGGCTTCTACTTAATAACTTTCCCCAGTGCTAACTTCCACTCACTGGTCCAATTCACAAATCACCCTATATTAAAACACAGCCCTCCTCCAGTGTATTGCCTGAGAATCCTCAGATTAGAGCTCAGTAGCTAGTCAGTCATTTCAGCCAGTCCATTAACCCAATTCACCCTTCCCACTTTCCCAATTTCTTAGCATGAAATAAAATGTTTTTACTTTTACTCCTTTTTTTGGAATGAGTAATCCATATGTTGACTGCCGCTGACTTCGTGTCTGAGCTCCCTCAATAAGGGTCAATGCAGAATTTGCTGAAGATTTTACACAGGAAATGGAGGAAAGGGGTTACACTTCGAGGTAGTAGAGATCTAATTTCCACAACTTTTAAAAGCAAAAAATATAATAAATCTGTATCTCTTTTTGGCTGAATCTAGACATTTTGGCTGAATGTAGACTTTTATCAGCCCTCTTTGTTGGCACAGTATGGAGGTAGGGAGCCTCTCTTCCCTGCCTCCATACTTTTCTCGTTATCTTGCTAGGGCCAGCTCATACAAGCTTGTGAGAGCTGCTTATTAAATTTTCAGGATGTTGTGAGCAGGTTATTAAACCATTGGTGGCTTAAAATTGGCCAAGGTGGGAATATTCACACCATAGGAATCAGCAAACATAACAAATCAGGGCTCTCCATCGCCCCCATCGCCCCCAAGCTAGTTGTTAACATGAACAAGTGCACTGCCGTTCCTACACTTCTGTTTCCTAATTGGGCAACCTGTTGGCCTGGCTCAAAGCTTTTCACTCCCCCATGACTTGAGCCTTATGGAGGCCTGCCGAGAAGGCCAGGTGAGACTTTGCTGCCGCACCTGACTCATCAAGCAAGACGGGTCTAGAGTGGTCCTAAGCTGGTGAAACAAAACCATCATATTAGATCCACATAGCAACTACCACTTTGGGAAACTAAAGGTGACTTTATTTGCACCAAAATTTTGAACAAACGCTCTTAAGTGTACTATACTTTTACTTTGGCTTCCTTGAAAAGCAGTTTGTGTCATTTTGAATTCATACTTGTCTTTATGTCAAGCTTAGTCTAGAACATTAAAATTACCATCCCACTGCCAATTAGAATAAAAGTGCATTGTAAAATATGTATAGTCTTTAAAACATTTTGTTTAAGTGACATACACTCCTCAATAAATTGTAGCTGGCTCCAATTTAACTTAACATCGAAGGATGTCAATCATAATGTATCTAATTTTACTAGTAGGCTAGCTGCATAAAGGAGGTTTTGACTTTACAGTCACTGATATCTAAAACCAAGTCAACATACTATAGCAGCCTTGTCTATTATAAAAGAAGAAATGCTTCTGGTTTACAATCAGAAGACAGTGCTCAAGCCACTTACTTCTTGACATTCTCTGTGTTCAAAGAATCTGTTTGATGTCCAGTCTAGAAATGAAGCATCATCCTCTGATCTTATAAAAAGGAAAACTAAAGAATAAGGAATATCAAAGGGAGGCTTTTTTTTATACATGCTTGCCTTTTTCTACTGAAAAATAAATAAATCACCAACCAGCTTTTTTTTTTTTTTGGTGAAGAAGATTGGCCTGAGCTAACATTCATTGCCAATCTCCCTCTT